CTTACTTAGGACAATAAGGTTCCCGGTTAACAGGGACAAGCTTACTTAGGACTATGGGTAACACCACATCGGTGCAGACGCTTCAACAGGCTCTCAAAAGCCTGCTGAAAGTAAAAGGGGTGGGTCTGAAGCAGGAGACAAGATAGCTCAATTACTCCTTCTGAGCAGCTTACATGAGAAATTTCCTGCGGAGAACAAAGAGCGGGGAGACAAGGGGTTTGGGTCTACGGGTGCCCCCCAGATTTTTTGCTCATTAGATCTCAGCACCAGACCGGTGCTCAGAGTCACAGTTAATGGTAAGCCCATAGTTGGTTTATTAGATACAGGTGCCGATCGTAGCATCGTTAGCACCACAGACTGGCCGCCGGGGTGGCCCACACAGCAGTCAGACCAAACCTTAACAGGCCTGGGGTACGCCCAGATGCCGCAGATTAGTTCTCGCTTGTTGCCATAGAAAGATGAAGAGGGCCACCATGGGGATGTCCAGCCCTATGTGCTGAAGGTCCCAATTTCTCTATGGGGCCGAGATATATTACAGCTTATGGGTTACAAACTAACAAATGAAGGATGTTATAGCCCTCAAGCGAGAGGCATCATGCATGGCATGGGATATGTCCCCGGGAAAGGATTAGGTCGCTCCCTGCAAGGTAGAACTTCTCCAGTAGCTACCCCTAGAAAACAAGATCGTAGGGGGCTGGGTTTTTCGTAGGGGCCACTGAGAGGGCACTACCCATTACGTGGAGGACTGAGGATCCCGTGTGGGTTTCTCAGTGGCCACTCCCCTCAGTAAAATTAACCGCTGCTCACGAGCTGGTGAAGGAACAAATGGCCTTGGGTCATATTCGCCCCTCTACTTCCCCTTGGAATACTCCTATCTTTGTAATCAAGAAAAAGTCTGGTAAGTGGAGACTCCTGCATGACTTGCGAGCGGTTAACGCGCAAATGGTCCCGATGGGGCCAGTCCAACGTGGGCTCCCATTACCGTCCACTTTACCACGACATTGGCCCTTAATAGTTTTGGATATAAAGGATTGTTTTTTCTCCATACCTCTGCATCCTAGTGATACTCCTAGGTTTGCCTTTACTGTGCCTTCTATGAATCATGAGAAACCTTACAATCCACAGGGTCAGGGCATGATTGAGAGAGCCCACCGCACCCTTAAAGAATGTTTATTTAAAAAAAGGGGGGGAATTGCCCCTGCCGGCTCCACCCCCAGGGAACGATTATCCATTGCTCTTTTTACATTAAATTTTTTAAATGAAGACAAATTGGGCCGGGTTGCGGCGGATCGTCATGCTAGCCCTAATTGTGCCAAAAGAGGGCTCGTTATGTGGAAGGATCTCCTTACCGGTCAGTGGCAGGGTCCTGATCCAGTACTAACATGGGCCAGAGGATCTGTTTGTGTCTTTCCCCAGAACCACCAACAGCCGCTGTGGGTGCCGGAGAGGCTAACCAGGATAGTCCAGGATGACGAGCCTGCTGATCCTGTGCTTATGGCCAGCGCTGATCCTGCGTGCGACGGGACAGCAGAATGATGTACGCTGGGGGATCCTTTCGGCCTTTCCCAGGCCCATGCCGGTAATTGGTCAGAGAACTTTGATAAGCTGCTTGGAGACTACGTACACCCATCGTAATCATCAATTCCACCCGAGTAGATACTAGCTGGTTAA